ATGCAACTGAAAATCAACTTAAACTCCCTTCAATGAATGAACTCGTGGTAAAAAGAACACGTACAGAAGATTCCTAATAACAAGTACATACTTTCGGGGAACTCGGGGATGTTTTGCTGGTATCTCCGAGAACGCCGAACCAAGACTGGAAAGAACGCAAATGACCATTTATCGGAAGAGAAATCACTTTTAATCTGAGATCATGGACTCTGGAAAATTAGGATCGTCCCCCCAATACCTAGCTGGCTCGCCCTCCCGGATCCTTCCCATCCATTCCATCGTCAACGCAGCTGTCCTCACAAACAACGTCCCATCAATCAACTCGCTGCCTTCCAGCTCCGTACCTGCAAATTCTCCGGAGGGAACGTTTCCGTACAACGACCCATAATGCGCCAGCGTGCGCTGGACTTTAGACAGATGATCGTCGGGGTGCACTAGTGCAGATTGGATGATCTGCAACCACAGGTTCGGAGTAGTATGTTGGGGGTATACAGACTCGTCGGATGGGTATGGCGAAGGGCCTGGGAAATCCGTGAGGATTGGGGCCGAAAAGAAGGAGCGGACAGGCAGCTTAGGACGGCCGCGGGAAATGTAATAGGCAAGCGAGCGAGTAAAGTATGCGCGGAGGAGGAGTGATTTCGATGCCGGGGATGTGAGGACCGCCATGTACGATGTTAAAGTCATCGAGCTGGTGAGAAGGTGCATTCTGGATAGGACGGATCAGTATACATACATTTGCTTTCGTCGCGGAGGAGCTCACAACGTAAATTCAGCTTTATGGAATCCTTCCCCATCGCGCCATCCGCCCACCACATATATCATCACGTTGAGGAAAGTCAGCTCTCGCACCTTCTTGCGGACTTCTTCGGGATTTGTCCCGTCCACGACCCAATCTGCCGCATACCGTTGTATACTCACGCCAAATCTCTCCTCCACTGCGTCAAACGACCCGAGTCCGAAGTCGTTGAACTGGCGATCACGCAGAATACGCGACACGATACTGAACGCATGTGTTCCTGACCGATATCCACTCGACGTGTCGAACATGCTTCTCGGTAACAGCACCGAGGACTTGATCTTGTGTACAGCGGCTTGTGCGAGTCCTGTTTGCGTTGCCATTAATTGACGTTTTATTGCGATAGATAATAGGCCCCGTACCTTCAGCTACAAGGCCGGGCAGGCTGCGACACGTACGAGGGTTGAGCACCGAGGTGAGTGTCAAAGAGAATAGTGACGTACCTGAATTCCAGTCCATAGCCGAGATAAAGCAGGGGGTGCAGAATGCCCGCCAGTAACCGGTTCAACATCTCAGGCTGCTGCCCATCAAAATTTGCTTTTGACGAGAAAATCCACTCTTCCACCACAGCGTGAACGGGCTTCTGGAGCACAAGATCGGAGAAGAAGTAGAGATACCCCTGGTAGTACTCTTCGTCGCCCAGATGGTTGAAAAATGTCTGTGCGGTGATGGAACCCGGTGATCGGTACGCGGATCGCTCGAGGGCGACGTGCTGGTTCCAAATCGCCTCGAGATGCTCCGCATTCCCTCCCAACGACCACTCCACGAGTATATGGAATGGTGTATGGTTGTGAGCGCCCCTGTAGTTGAAAAACCTGCATGAATTGCGGTTAGAGAGCCCACCGGATGCGAAAACTGTGCACACCCGTGGTGTTGCTGATAGTCTTGTTGTAGGTATTTCACCGCGGCTGCGGTGGATTCGGGGGTGCTTCCGGGCCACCGAGCAGGCGTGTCCGCCGTCAAGGAAGGGCCAGGATTTGGCCAGAGTTGTTTGATGTTAGGCGTCATGGCGGTACGCGGCAGAGGAGTGCGGGGACGGTGGTGAATATAAAAAATGCGACTTCAAGTTACCACTGATTGCTACTTGACGTCCAGCGCGAATTTTATATCCGACTACCAACACGGGAGTTGATCGTACCTGTCCGACATAGACGGGGTTGAGAATTTGGACCTCTGGTCACCTGGTGGAGCTTCGGTGACAGAAAGCTCGCTCGGAAGATAACGCTTGGACAACGCGTCAATCTTGCGCCAATCACACACTGGCAAGCACAGCCATAGTACTCACGTTTTTATCGTGAACCTGGCGGCAAGACTAGCATTCTGTTGGCTCAACGCGGGCGGCCATGGGGCTGGAAAGAGCGTTGATCTTTTTTTTTCGGTTTTTGTTTGGCCATTTCGGACAGTAATCAACCAACATGTGTTTTCCGGACCGGCACCGGGCTCTGGCGGATCGACACTGCCACCTTTTTTTCTTCCTCCTTACACGATCGCAGAAGATGCGCATCCAGCTCACTCTCAGCCTTCTATTTCGCCTATGCCCGCGGCAAGCTCTCTCCGCGTCCTAACAAACGGCCAGAAAGTTCTTGAGGGCCCCTGAGTGGGTTACTGTGCCATTTCGTTCAATTCGTAAGGCCATTTGATGTGTGACTTCGAAAACGAATCGTACCTTTCGTACGCGGTCTCCATTTGGGAATTTGATCCGTCGGCAGCGCTCGGCACTGCTCGGCACGCCTCGGCTAAGCTAAAAAGGCCTTTGTGACGCAGTGACTTACGAAAAATTTCGTAGATTTTCAGGCCTGTGACCTGTGACCATACGAATTGAATAAAATGGAACAGTAGTGTCGCAGGCGACTCGCAGCTTCAGTTGCTCAAATGTTGTCGTCCAAGTGTAGACCGGTTCGTTAAACATTCGTTGTAAAACAAGAGCCATTCACCCGTTCTGCAGTTCCATTAAAGATTTAATTAACGGCCCGGCTTGGATGGCCCGACGAGGGGACTTGAAAGCGCGTTCCTTGCAAGTTCCTGTTGATTCCCACGGTCAAGACGCGTTTTCATATTCAATTTCCCCACCGGCATTCGTCGTTCGCCGATGCTGCTGACAGTCTTTGAAGGCGCGCATGAAAGGTCGACTATTCATACTATTCAAAGAGAATCTCTAACAATTGAGTCTCACGTCACCTGGTGGATCTTTAGACGGTTGTGACTGACAGCTTGCTCGGACGATAACTATACTTCCCGGATGAGGCAACCGGGACAAACCAAGCGCCGGAGGCGCACCACAGAGGCGCATGCTTGTCCGAAAGACTCGGAGTTCTGCCAGAAGTCGCGGTTGTAAATATTCGTCATCGCGCGGACGGCATGGGTATATAAGGTGGGCTCTGGATTTTCTCAGCAGCCCCAGCACCCTCAGTTTCAGCAATATGCCAGGCAATCCGATACCAAAGAAGGTTGATATGCCACTTGATCTGTAAGGCTTTCCGTCACATGTTTGCGCAGTCTGACAATTTTATCCAGGGACGTCGTATTCGTCCACGATGCTACCGGCAGTCAGCAGCCTTACATCGAGGCCGCGCGTAATCTCGTCCGCCAAAATGTCGCCGCTTTTAAAAGGGACGCCGACCAAATGCGTGCGAAGGGTGTTAAAGTTGGTGACCCGCAATACCGTGTCATCGCCTTTCGCGATCATAGGGAGCAAGGGGATGCATGGTTCCTGCATGATTCGAACCCATTTACCAATAAGCCCGAGGTCTTGGAAAAGCAGTTGGCCGCCCTCGAGGCGTCTGGTGGCGGTGATGGACCCGAAGCGCAGCTTGACGCACTCGATGCGGCCCGCCGCTCGTCTTGGAGGGTGAACTCGAAGAAGGTTGTCCTTCTCATCACCGACTCTCCCCCCCACGGCGTCGAAAGTTATGACCGTACTCTTCCCCGAAGTCACCCTTCCAGTGAGTAAACTGCGTCATTCGGTTCTTCTCCCACGCTTACATCGCGACAGATATTACTGTCGCCAGCATCGCCGAGGAATACAACAAATTGGACATTCACCTTGTACGGGCCTGACTTTACCTTCCGTTGCCTTGTTTGACGCCCTTGCGAAGACCGTGATCGGCTGTACTCCCGAAATCAACTCTTACCAGGTACAGTAACACGACCTTGTTTTTTCCGTCTCTTACCCAGGCTTCCCTCTCAGGAAGCTGTGAAATTCTACAAACACCTTACCGAGGACTTGATTACAAAGTATGACACCAAACTTTCACATATGTTTCTCGCTTTAACGATGTGCGCAGGAAAAAGTATAATTCAACTTACACACATATTCCGCTCGTACTAATGCGTTTGCGGATGTGCGCAGTGGAATGTATCTCCCGCTCCCGCCACCGACTCGCAATCCAGGGCCAATGAATCGTGCAATTGTCGGCACCATGCTCCACGCCGCCGACAATTCCCGCCTTGCCGACAAATGGGGAGACTGGATCGCAGACGAGTCTTATCGCGGCCACGATGCGCTCGTCGACGCCCTGCATTCGACGCTTTCTGCCCAGGGCGAGGAGTGTCACGAGGTCTCGTGCACTGAGCATGGCGGCCACGATATCCAGTACCACCGCGGTCCTGTATCGCGTGCTCGTGTTAGTCTCTTCTTCCTTGCCGTTTGATCACTCAATCGATAAATTCAGGTGGACGCCATCGTTGGCAAGACTCTTAGTAAGCAAGAGGACGCCACGGTTCGTGCTCTTATTTTGAGACCGAAATTTTGATTGACAAGTTACAACCATAGTCGAATATCCTCTCTAGGGCCTTGTTTGGCTGAGTCAATGTATATATTGTATTACTCGCTTCGACTCCACGAATGTAATCCACACTTTGTACCTCGGTACGCTTTCCTACGGCGACGGCGATTATTGTACGAGCAGCGGGATTGTATTGTACACCACATCCTATTTATTTCCCGGTCTGTGTACCTGAGTAAGTCCCTCATAGTGTGCATTCTGATACGCGAGCAAAAGATCCACCGTCAACTGAGGGTATTCGGATGCCGAATCGAACTCAAACTTCCTGCCCCAAATAAACACATTAAATTCCCAATATAAGCAGCAGGCGTGCACCGTACACCACATCCGAGGTATTCACCTACATCTGCACCGAAGGAAGTATGGGAAATGGGGAGGTATTTGGATATCTGGAGGCCAAAAAAGGGTGTTCTTCGATATTCGGATGCTGAGAGTCGAACTCAGGCCTCCTGCTACAATTACAGTTCTCAACAATAATAAGTGCAGGCGTGCATTATACACCACATCCGAGGTATCTTCCTATATACGTACCTGAGAAGTCCCTTCGATGTACATAGAGGGATTTCAATTTTGGAGGCAAAAAAAAAAATCCACCAAGCTGAAACATTCGGATGCTGAGAGTCGAACTCAGGCCTCCCGCCACAACTAATACACAATACAAATGAGCAGCAGGCGTGCACCATACACCACATCCGAGTTACTTCCTAGTATACGTACCTGAGTATATCTCTTCGATGTCCATAGAGGGATTTGACACTGGAAGGAACAAAAAAAGCAAAAGGGATTCCTTCGAATGGGCAATCGGACACTGAGAGTTGAACTCAGACCTCCCGCCACTATGGTATTGGTTGCGACAACACTTATGAGCAGCGGGCGTGCACGTACACCATGTCCGAGTTATTTGCTTAGATGCACTGCGGATGTATCTGGGTATGCATTTTCAACATTGCGAGATCGAGAGTAGCGAAAAGAAATATTTGAACCCAACGTTCCTATTCGAACGCTCAGAAATCTCAAGTCCACATACCAAATGTGCACGTGCAAATACAAAATGCATTGCACACCACACACAATCGAATCAAGAAACAATTCCGATTCTTAAAAAAAGACACAAATACAAGTGTTGGTTGGTTGGCTGAAGTGTTATGTACGGATGTACGGACATCTACGGGATTATAGCGGTTTATGTACGGTGATGGTGGTGTGTGGGGTGGGGTGGCGCGAGTAGTCAGGGGGAGGGGGAGGTGTGTGGGGTGGCGTCAGGAGGGAGGTAAGGATGGCGAGCACAAAGAACGGCGAGCACAAAGAACGGCGGGCGGAGTCAATACTCAATACTCCCGACTCACACTCCGACTCCGATCGCGCCCCTTCCCCATGCCGAACCCGAACACCCTTTTCAACAAGGGCACCTCCTTCCCCCTCGTGGGCGTCGGCGTCTGCGCGCGCGCGGCTTGGGTGAAGAGGGCGGGGTGCGCGTATTGCGGGGAGGTCGGGGTCGGGTTCGGGTTCGGGTTCGCGTAATTCGAATTTGGATTTGCATTCGGGTTCGGGTACCCATTCGCACTCGGGTACCCCGATTGCGGGTACGCCGGGTGGGGGTGGAACACGTACCCCTTCTGCCCCGGCTGGCCCGCAGGGTGCGGGTACGAGTTCGCGCGGATGGGCGCGGTGGTGTAGCTCCGCGAGCGGCTGTGCTGCTGCACCGGCGGGGGCGCATACGAGCTCGAGCGCGAGCGCGTGTGGTGCGCCATCGGCTGCGGTGCCATGTGCATCGGGATCGGCTGCGGGTGGTGCATCGGCAGCGGGGGCGGGGGCGGGTACGGCGGCATCGGGCCGGGGAGGAAGTACGTCGGGACGGGGACGGGGTGGAACGGGTGCGGCGGGCGGGGCGGGGGCGTCTGGACGCCGTAGATGTCGCCGCGCGGGGGCGCGGTGAAGGGGCGCGGGATCTCGCGCGTAGGCAGGGGCGGCGGGGGGGTGCGGTCGCGGCGGGTGGTGCGGGTGCTGGAGCGTGCGCGGACGCGGTCGCGGTCCCTGTCGAGGTCCCTGTCGCGGTCGCGGTCGCGGTCGTCGCGGTCACTTGACCGCGTGCGGCGCTTCGATTTGGAGCGGGGCAGGCGGGCGGCCTCGCCGGCAGGGGTGGGCGGGGCATCGGGGTCTTTTTGGGGGATGTGGGCCGTGTCTTCGGACCAGCGCGATATTTCTGCGAGCTTGCGGTGGTAGCGGCGCAGGCCTTCTTCGCTGTAGTCGTATTCCGTCATGTTCCAGGCAACAACAGCAGCGCACTCGGCAACAACACTTCACAGACCAGCGAGACTAAGACCCAGCAGCACAGCGCAGACGGGAAAGGACGACGGGGCTGGGAGAGAGACGTCAACGGACATGCTCACTGTGGACGCAAAATTTTTATAACACCCGCCACGCCACGTGCCACGTGCCTGCAATCAGGATCCGCGGCACTAATTTCCTTTCTCGGCCCTTCCTCCTTCCTTTCCTCCTCCGTCCACTTACTCGTCCTGGTCCCTCCAACTCGCTTGTGCCCACTTGCCCTGCTCCCTCGCCTTGTTGCCTGTGCACAAGTCCCCACCCTACGCAGAGCCACCCCGCCTCCGATATCTCCGCGATCACAGCCCACATCCGCCCGTTCACGGCTTCACGCAACGGCGCCAATTCCTAGTTCGCCGGTCCTACGATGTCACTGCGCCGCGCTGCCCTAAATCTAAATCTGAAATACGAGTCCCTGCCCAGCTGGTCTTGTGACGCACCCTGGAACGACAAGACACGCCGCGGCCTCGTTTTATGCACGAGCTCGACGCACGAATCACATCGGATCCTGCTAGCTATATCCGCTTCTCTCTGGCGTATCTACATGCATCAACCGCTGGACTTGGGCTTGACGGCGGACGCCACGCTATCGTCGCGGAGTGCGTTATTCAGTGCCAGGGTTATTCGGACCGCACCGGCGCTCTCTCCCTCTCTCTCGTACACGGACGGACACGAATTCCCCGCGTAGTTCCCCGCGTAGCAGGTCCCGAGTCATCTCAATCCCGTCATGCCTGAATCCTGCCATCTCTGTATGTACACCACCGTGCCGGATTGACATCGGAATGATATCAGTCCTTAACTTCATAAGACGTCAGCTGCAGACTTCAGTTGGGTGTCTTGAATATATCAGAACGGTATCCATTCAGCCAATCATTTCCAAGTCTGGCTGACATATAGACTTCAGAACGGTGTCGGTGGGTCGACATCGAAACGAGTTGGTTCACTTTTCATTCCACCATCAGCTTAACTGAGATCCAAGTCATCATGGAGGCCATTTCTTCATCCAGAGAACACCAAAAGATAAATGATAGGTAAGAAAATTCAAATTTCTAACTACGGCACAAAAACTGTTTAATTACCATATCACCATCCGCGTTGCCCATGCGACTTCAACGGCATGGTGCGAACCATCCTCCAACTCCTCGAGCAGCGTGTGGGTCATTAATAATGAGCATGGTGAACTGCAGGCCCAAAGTCAGTGCGCATACACAACATCAGCAGTGGCAAACAACATACTGTAAGAATGGGCGCCCCAAGCTCATAGCCAATCAATGTCGTGCATTTGTAGATGCCCATAGAAAAAGTACGTGTTGTGGCATTTGGGACCGTTGACTCGGTTGAGGCATTGAGGAAGCTTGAATGAGAATCCAGAATAACCATACGAGAAACTTGAAGTCTTGCATAGTTGAGGTGAGTTGAGGTGACTTGCAAAGGCTTGAGAATAGTTGAGGCAGCTCCAGGGAGGTCAGAGAGCCTTTCAGGCTGTTTGCAGAATGCGCCGAGATTGAGCTATCCAGTCAGGGGAAATAGTAGGCCAAAGCTCAGGACTATCTTGAGACTATCTTGAGGAGTGAGCTGATTGCTTGAGGAGGAAAGAGAGATGGAGGGCGGGTAAGGAGGCCACGGCGCGATGGTGGCAGGACGAAAGTGACTTGGTGATGTGACCATACATCAAATCACGCAGTATCAACACCACGTGCCTCGGAGTTTGAATGACTTGTCCTTGATTTCGTCCGACTTGGACCGGACGAAAAAAATTACCTGTCTTGTTTTCTTACTATTTTACAAAAGTTAAGCCGGTTGTGCCAGCGGTGGCGACCTCATCCCAAAACACCAAAGTGCAATCGTCTTGGCACAGCGATTCTGTCTCACATACAATGGCCATATGGGAAATCAGGCCGAAATCGGCACAAGAGTTCAAAATGATACCGAAACAAACTTGAGAAATACATTTTTTAGATGTTGCTCAGATATCGAGACAGAGACATCGGACCGATGAATATCTGATATCGTCATGAAGTCTATACAATATATCAGATTGATTTATAGCCCATACATCATACTGATTTCCTTCTGGGTTGGTGGTGTAGGTATGACTCGGTTTGCTTTACTTGCTTTACTTATTTATGTCAGGAGCCCTGACAGTGACTCACCTTTCCATTCCCATCACCCGTTTGTACCTACAACACACATCAATCTGTCATTTCAAAACCACCATGATGATGCGGATGCCGCAGCCTTCCCCGCGATGGGATGTCGTACAAGTTGACATGTTGATATGATATGTGCGTCACTTCTCCGCTCATCTAGGCTCGCGTGTTCAATGACATTCAGAGGATCTGCACCGCCCATCAACCTACGCGCGAGTGAGTATATATATGCCTTTTTATCACCCACTCACTACCATCTCCCTCGGCCGGCCATTATCACCCTTACCATCACCACGCACGTCCATATACGGCACATTCCGCTATTTGGACATCCCCGTGTTCGGCATCCATCCCCACCACACGTTACCGGCATCCCCGCCACCCACCCACCGATCACGAACGCCGAACGCCGGACGCGGACGCCACCACTCCGTTCATTTAGGCGTTCATAAAAAAGTTTGGGTGCCTGGCTGGTTATGGTAGGTACCAATTCCGGGCTGGTTGGATGATTAGAGTGAGTGATTTGAGACTGGGAGGCAGGCAGGCAGGTAGGCAGGATGTGTCCGCGAATTAAGTAATGAAGTATCTCCCTCATCAGGATACTGGTGATAATCAGACACCGGTGAGTCTGTCTATAACTACCCTCCGTCGCTCTGTCTCCCAGGTACTGTCGACGTCGGCCCGCCCTTTTTCGTTCATCCCTTCATATCACCTCACTGAGATTCCTACCCGCACTTTAGACGCGGACGCGCGGGCGGGCGGACGCGGATCTTATCACCTTGCTTCTGTCTCACCTCGTTCTCATATCTGTCGGGAGCTGTGTTAAAGATACGGATGGATGCACGAGCGCCTCCTAGGCTCGAATCTGTTTCTGTAGGACTCGAAAAGGCAATGTCAACCACCCAAGGATAGCATGTCGTACGTGGTACATTCCGTTCATTTCCCCCCAATCAATCACATTCACCACTAACTTCTACTTCCAGTCAACTTCCAGTTCTAGTATACGTACGTACACGGATATGAACTTCCATATGATATGATATGATAGATGAAGGCGAGAAGGCGGAGGATCTGCGCCGCCACAGTGCCACTGATTTCATTTCGTTTCGTTTCATTTTAGCAATCGAAGGTATGTTCATGTCATTAATTTACTATTCAAGTTACCGTGATGTTGTGGTTGTGGTTGTATTCTAACCTTTCGTCCCTGGCCAATACAACTCA